GCCAGGGCAACCAAGCCTTCTGCTTGCTCCAGCTCCGTGGCTGCCAGCCGCAATCTTGGTTGGGTTAATTTGCATATAGTAGCTCTGACTGGCTGGTGGGCGTGGCTTGGGCGTAGGAAAGGTACGGTCAATTAGCATCTTTGTCTTTTATTAGTGTAGATACCTGAAATGTTAGCAATGTCAAAAACTGACATAATGATCAATAATCCTCCAGCTCGGTCAAAATGTACTATGGTGCCATTCTTGTTTTCAGAGATATTTTTTTAAAGAAATTAGACACTATTTACTCCTAGAGGTAACTACCATCCTGAATTTGAGGAAGGGGGATATCAAGAACAAAGATTTCAGAAAGGTTGTCAAAATGTTTCTTGGTTAATTTAGAAATGATCAGTTATGACCCAGTGATGGCCCAAGTTTCTAGAATTTCTGAGATCCTGCCTCAGTTGTGATCCTAGGCTAACCATCCATCCATTCATCATCTTATTATCTGTCTATCCCTCTACAAATATATCCAATTCATCAATATACTTTTCTCATCCTAATATCAATCTATCCATAACTTCATTGATTTATTATCAATCGTTCATGTATCATCCAGCCACAATATATCTATATCCACCATTTATCTCTCTAAAATCAATGATCCATTTGTCATGTATATACTAGTTATCACCCATTTATCCACTCAAACATCCAATGTACCCATATTCCATGTATTGACCAAATCCATCCATTTACCCATCCATAGTCCATCCATCCATCAGTCCATCCATTCATTCATCCATCATCCATCCATCCATCCATCCATCCATCCATCCATCCATCCATCCATCCGCCATTGTGGTGGGAGTACAAAGAAGAGGATCATTCATTATAATCAGCAGGGATAACTCACAGAGAAGGTGACATTTGAGGACTGAAGGGTGGCTATGGCAAGGGTCATTACAGGGAAGCTACAGTGGGACATTCACCCAGAGAATACAGCATCTAGGGCCAATGGGAACTCTTCCCTTTTTTTCGAAGAGGGGGTGAGTGTGAGCCCAAAAGTAACCTGAGTCCCTGCACTTGCTGTTTGGACCCTATGGGCTTCGGGAGACATTCCTGGGCACCCAGGGCAGGCCTCTTGCATGGAACTCCACTCTGAGTCCATGGGTTGAACCCAGGGCAGCCTTAGGGCTTGGGTTCTGGTTTCTCAGACTCAAAAAAGGTGACCAGTGTTTTGAAGGAATTAAAACACAGCTGTTTCCTGAAGCCTGGAAAGAGACACATTTTTTCCACGTGGCACAAGAGGACCCAGCTTGTAAGGTTGTAAGGGGAGGACTGGTCACTTGGGGAAAACTCAGAGAACCCATGTTACCCTTCTGAGACTTTCTGGGATCATGTGGAAGTCTTGCCATGTTTATCCATTCTCCCAACACACACACACACACACACACACACACACACACACACACACACACACCATAAACACCTGGCCTGTAGAAATACAGCCTATAACGAAGGTTCTCTACTGGTTAGTTTCTACCTACTAGTCAGACCTATTAGCTATAGTGTAGCATGAACCAGCGCAATAGTGGTGAGCATACACAGAGAGAAGCATGGGGTGGGGACCAGCCAGGCTGCAGCCTGAAAGAGGGACAAGCCACCTGGTGGATATACAAAAGTATCTCTGAAAACAAGAATGGCACCATAGTACATTTAGACCAAGCTGGAGAGTTATTACACTACTAGATGTCCGGTGCATGAAATTCGTGCATGGGTGCGGGGAGGTCCCTCAGCCCAACCTGCACTCTCTCCAATCCGGGAATTTCAGTGAGGGTATATGAGTGAGGACTTTCTGATGCAAGATGGGAAAACTCTTTGCAAAGTGTCTTGAGTAGAAAAAGGAATGTGTTGTCACAGAATCGTTAGGTGGCTGAAAACTTCAGGAGTGGATGGCTTCAGGCATGGCTGGACCCAGACACACATCTAGTATTTAGAATCTGTCTGTACCCCTCAACTTTTACCTCTTAGCGTTGGTTTACTCTCAGGAAGGTTGGTCCCCTGAGGAGGTTCAAGGCAACAGCAGCACTCTATTCTAGACATATATCCGATCTGCTATCCATTCCCTTCATTGCTATAATTCTAGCAAGAGTTTTGGGGTAAAGTCTATTGGCCTGACATGGGCCCCATGCCAATCCATGAGCTAATCCCTGTGGTCAGGAAGATGGAGCACCCAGGTCTTCTATACATGTCTGGACTCATGGAATGAGGATGAGGGAGGCCCCCTTAAAACTGGGGTGTTGTTGCCTGGGGAACCAAAAGGGGAAATGGATGGAGGGCAGTGCAGGCACACACAACAGAAACCCTCGCCAGAGCTCCCCTCCCCCACCCACAGCTAGACCCTGAGCTCATGCCCAGGGGAGCCAATGCCCTGCCCACTTTCTCTTGGCCAGTCAGGGCAGCACCGGGAGGGAGAACCTGATACCTTTGGCGGGCAGCTGACAAAGACAGGCCTTTCTCCCAGGAAGCCTCTCACCCACATGCTTTGCCTTTGTTTTCACAGAATTTTTTGCGTCTTGATTTACATGGAGACCCCCGAGAGGTAAGGACTGTTGGTTTCTGGGTCACAAGTTTCAAATCTTGACACCTTTAAGCTCCAGTTAAAGATGAATGAAAGACTTCTCCCTGTGGAAGCATAGTAACTCATTGTGTTTATATTGCTGAGGCCCAGAGAGGGGCAGTGACTTGCCTGGTAACACAGCCAGGAGGACCAGATGTCGGACCACAACCTGTTCCTATGACTCCCGGTCCAGTGCTCTTAGTCACTAACTCTGTGTCTCCTGGGCCCAGTCTATACCCTTCCTATCTATCTATCTATCTTTCTTTCTTTCTTTCTTTCTTTCTTTCTTTCTTTCTTTCTTTCTTTCTTTCTTTCT